TGGACCAGCTGATGGACTGAATGAGGGAGATCAAGGAAAGGGCCAGTTCATGGATGATGACCTCTATGTTTTTGGCTTCATCAGCTGGGAGATGTGGAGGGCCAGAGATTATTTGGAGAGTTGGAGCAGGAAATTAAGGGATCACCCCCCCAACTCTTACCAGTAACTTCTTACTAGTAACCTCCTTAACACTTTAAATACATCTTGTCCCGGTGTGTGCCATGTTTTATTGCAACTTGCATTTTAATAGATTTTGAGTCCCTAGAAAGGATCCTGTTTTATTCATATCCCAGATACTACCAAAGTGTCTGGCACATAGTAGGTGCTCCAAATATACTTACTCAATAACACATGAATTGAAGTAAAATGTTTCAAGTCCAGTTGCTTGTCTTTTTGGAAAAGTCGTGTTTGCGTAATTGAATATAACCTTTTACTTTGATTTATAAACTATGTTATTCACACTGGGAAATAAATACCATAAATTTAAAAAAGAGCTATAATTGTGATTTAGATGTATTATAATTAAAAGAAGCCTCTATTTACATGTAAAACAGGTGATATATTATGTAGAGAAGAAACCACAGAAGTTGTTTATAAACAAGAAATCTTTGGAGTCCCTACAGGGCTTGGATTAGTCCCTCTGAATTTAGTAGGGTTTCCATACATATTTATTTAATAAATGGAATTGAAAGTGATGGAGTATTTTACCTAAAAGCCTTCACTGGTCTATAAAAATTATATACAAGCAGAGTACTTCAAAATAAACTATTAAAATCTAGGAAGGATTTAAATTTGCTCTCTTGGAAAAGAGAACCATTGATATTTAAAGGCCCTCATAAGGTATCAAACAGTCAACTTTTCATGTGAATTGACCCCTGGAGATTATACTTCCTGGGGCTACACAGAATTTGCTATTTCAGTACAGTGTTCATTGCATGTAACTTACTGTTTTTGTTGTGGCTGCTTCACTATATCTCATACTTATAGGAAAATGAAATGTTTAAACCACAGAATCCCAGGTGGTTCAGCCGACAGGTGTAAAAGCAATGTGATACAGAAATAAAACATTGTCAGGTTTTGATTACTGGGAGGAGAAGTTTTGATGCAGCATGCGGGCTTGAGTTTTTTTTTTTTTTTCTTTTCTAAGCCAGAGTGTTCTATAAAATCCCCACCTACACAACCACTAACAAAAAGCACAGAGAAAAATCATCCCCTGGGTGCGGTAAGGAACAAATTGGAAGAAAGGCTGGTCTTCCTTCCATGTAGCTAATATACAAGAAATTACAGAAACACACAAGCTCAATTGGAGAAATAGGATGGATGAGGACTCTGTGGTTTATGGCTGAAAACTGAAGCCCCTGCAAGCCAGGAATTCTGCATTTCCTGTCTATCAGGACCTGACCAGTCGGTCACAGGGTAAGGTGAGACACAGAAGAGGATGGATGCTAATGAATGAAGAGCCAACAACAATAAACAGAAGCATTACCCACTGGACCTCTTAGTAAAGGAGCCCTGTGCCACACACATGGCCATAAGCTTTGTGTTTGTTGTCACTAAGTCCACAATCATGGCACAAGAAACGGCAATTCAAAAACATTGAGAAACGTATTCAAAACTATATTTCTTAGGGCACCTGGGTGGCTCAGTCGGTTAAGCATCTGATTCTTGATTTCAGCTCAGGTCATGATCGAGTTTGTAAGATTGAGCCCCACGTCAGGCTCTGTGCTGACGGCATGGAGCCTGCTTGGGATTCTCTCTCCCTCTCTCTCTGCCCCTCCTCCACTCATGCTCTTTCTCTCTCTCAAAATAAATAAATAAATAAATAAATAAATAAATAAATAAATGTATGTTAAAACAAACAAACAAACATAAAACTATGTTTCTAGTAAGAGGCAGGCCAGAATCCAAACCCAAGTACACTGGATCTAAAACATTGCCTTGAACTAGTGAGTGATGCAGGCTGGTCTCGCCTTATCTACCAGGGACTTCAACAGGAGGTTTGGGGGAAAGGTTTAGCACTGCAGTCTCCTAAGCAGCTTCCTTAGAACCACCTGTGAACTTTTTTTTCCCATTTGGGGTGCAGAACTCTACTGCACCTCAACTTACCTCTCTGGCACTCAGGAGTTCGGAGTCCGTGTTCGGAGGCACCACAAGTGAAACTCATAGTACCTCTTTTGCCACAACATGTAAGCGTCACCAGCTCTCCAACCTGCGTGTCTGTGTCTGTGCCACTTACCGCCCAATGGCTAAGCCAATTCACATGTTTAGGTGAAGTTCAGGAACACAATTGAAAGGGTGAAAGTCTAAATGAGAAGTATGTTGCAGGGGGTGGGGGGGGGAAGTACGATGGGAATCAATCAGATCAAGTTTCTTACCTCAAATCTGTCATAAAGTATTGGGAATAATCTAAATTTAAAGTGCTTTATGCAATACAGTCCTTGAGAGCAATGAGAAATACAATTCAGCATGTTTTTTCAAGATCTTCCAACATTATATCATATTATCAAAAGTCTTTCCAGAGATTTCATATGTTTTCCCCAAACTGCTTTAGATTGCAAACACCAAGTTCTTTTCCTGCTACCATCTCACAAAAGCCCCTGGAGGAGGAAGCTGTGATACGTCTTCATTCCAGGGTGCTGTCCTCACTCCCAGTGTTCACTGTTCCAATGCCGGCTCTCCTGCAATGCCCCTCATGCCCTCCGGTTAACCTGTACTGGAAGCCTTGAGTTTAAAGCCAAATTAGTTAAAACTCTTAACTTTTCACTTGGGCCCTGAGAGTGACTTTGGGTCTTTATGAATGTGTGTGCGTTCCTCTGATTCTAATAGAAAGTAATAATGTGTATATGTGTGTCTGTGTATTTCTTGGCAAAATGAATAAATCTCTTATCTCTTTCTTTTTTTAATGGTTATTTATTTTTGAGAGAGAGAGAGAGGAATCGAGAGAGAAACAGAGGATCCAAAGCAGGCTCTGTGCTGACAGCAGAGAGACCAATGCGGGACTTAAACTCATGAACTGTGAGATCATGACCTAAGCCACAGTCAAACACTAAACCAACTGAGCCACCCAGGTGCCCCTGAACCTCTAATCTCTTAATTACAGTCTGAATGCCAAAAGAACAGATTTTAGGATTCGACCTATTTCCTTTCCTTCCAGACAATGTGGATTGACTTTTCCTTTTCACGGGCAGGTAAGTAGATAGATGGATAACCGATAGATGGAATTGATAGATAAATGGATGGATGAGAAAGAGAGGTGGGGGGTGGGGTTACGGCAGACTCTAAATTTTTTATTAATGTTTATTTATTTTTGAGAGAGAGAGCGGAGGAGGGGCAGAGAGAGAGAGAGGGAGACACAGAATCTAAAGTAGGCTCCAGGCTCTGAGCTATAACACAGAGCCCAATGCAGGGCTCAAACCCACGAACCGTGAGATCATGAAGTCAGACGCGTAACTGACTTAGCCACTCAGCACCCTGACAGACTCTAAATCTAGGTTTGGGTCATCCTGAATGAAAACCTATTTCGGTGCTCATAAGGCTCCTGAGAATGATCCTTCTGTCACCTCTCGCTCTCTTTGAGCCCTGTACTCTGGTCTGCTTTCTTCCTTCCATTTCAAAGCAGTAGGTAGCTGAAGCAGTTCCCCTGGAAATCTTGGCCTGCTGTTTCATAGACTCATTTATCCTGTCTTCTGCTTTTGACCCCAGCTGCTTCCCCCACCTCGTACACTCCGACTCACTGGCCATAACAGCAAAGGCCCAGGGCGTTCCGTGAAGTTTTCTTTCAGAAGGCCATGCCGGGCTTCTAAGTTCACCAAAGGGGTGTCCTCAGCTTGGCAAGTGCTGCAGACAGCAAACCACCAGCACCAGCTGACACGTGAGGTTTCTGTGCAAAGCCTGCCCTATGTGGCCCTTCCTGCCAACAAACGTGCTCCGTCAAAGAAACACCAGGCAGAGGTCCTGATGCTCTTGAGCCTATGGATTCCAGAGTCAGCAAAAGGAAAATATGGTGAACAACCAGTTAAGGTCCCCTGACCCCAGAGCCAGCTCCCAGGTGAAGGCAACAGTTCCAGAACTCTGTTCCTCCCAGTGTGTGATGCTACATCAGTTAAAAATTTATTCTTATTGACAAGCACCTCAGTGAGAACTAAATTAGACTGTTTTTTTTCGAATATGTAGCCATTCTCATCTTCACAGAAGCAAGAAATATTATTAAAGAGGGAGAGGAAAAAATAACAGGGCGATACAGGGCATGTGAGGAAGAAACTAGAGAAGTCCTAGGTAAGACTAGCACAGTGCCCTATTGAGGGATGCGGGCAATAGGAGCCTAGACCATTTTAGTCTTGGTGTGAAGGCTCTAAGCCTTGGAGAGGGTGATGGGGGGCGGGAGGGATCGTGTCCTTTCACTACCCGTAAAGTGGTGGGAGGGGTGGTTCAAAATCGAGTAAACCTCATTTCTCATTTCTCATTACTTCTACTCAGGTTCTCCTTCACACCCCACTCAGGCCCCTCCGGCCCCTTCTGACAGTCTTCTACCATCCCAGACATGTCACCCAGAATTTTCCCTAAGCCCTTTCCTAACTTACTTTCTATCACTACCTGCCCTCTAGCATGTTTTACACATTTTGCTAACATATAAACAGACTTCCATCTGTGTTGTTCCCCCACCGTAGCTCCACTGTAGCTAGAGAAGGGCCTGGCCAGAGCAGACCCCCACTAAGCCTATGTTGACACTTTGCATGAATGAATGAGCAAAGGACAGCATGGCCACCCACAGAACCCATTTCAAGATCCGACCTCTTCTCTCCTCCTTCAGACACTGTGGTTTGACTTTTCTTGTTTATGTTCATCAGAGCAGAAGGCGACATCCTGATCACCTACTACTAAGACAAAAGAAGGGGTCACGTTCACGAGAATCTCAAAGTTATATAAGCCACACCAAGTGAAGGTGAGGCCATAGATGGGAGTTTGTCAGTCTGGGCATGCGTTAGATTCCACAAACTAGCATGGTTGAGGCTTTCAACCACCTGCATGCTGGACTTCAGATGCCAGAGGGTGCCTGGTGCTCCTGCGGCACAGGTGAGATCAGGTGAGCAGGACGAGAACAGGGACTGAATGACCGTGTTGCTGCCTGGTAACACGGCTGTGTAACAGCATCACATGGAGGCTGTTGCACCTGACCCAAACCTACCTCCGGGATTTCCATGGTCCTTTCTGGAAAATGGTTAGGGCCGATTTCAATACCCAGATAGGACTGAGATCCAGTGGTTTAGGGAAACCACTTATCTTGCCTGCAATCCCTCCTCAGTATTTCTGTAGCGCAAGAAACAGCCTATTTCCCTACGGGCCATGTCGCACAAGGCATATAAAGCAAACCTATATGTCGTTACAGCATATAAAGCAAACCTGTGAGTGTCGCAAGGAAGCTGCTAAGTATAAATGTCAGGCTTCCAAAATCTGGCTGTGAACCCAGTGCCCAGGAAAGTGGGTGATACCACTTACACCATTCTTTTCATGTGAAAAGACATTCTCATTTCCCAACCATAAGGTCACCAAATAAATTCTGAAGCGAAATTGGTTTATAATTTGGGACTTGCCTAGAATACTGCAGATTTAAAATCTGTAACACAAGGCAGATAAATCACAGATCACACTGGCAAAGACACATCCTGACAAGTATACTGGGCAATTTATGAACTGTTTACACTGGTTTTATTGAAATCTGGGCAGAAGCTGTGGCTAATGGCTTGCGTTACCCAATGCATAGTAAGAGCTCAAGCGATAGCAGCTGTATTTTAAGAACGACAAAGGCCAAAGACTATGGTTAATGTCTGATGTGGAAACTCTAAGACACCGCAGTGGTGGTTTTAGAAGATGCTGTTTGTAAAGATTTTGGATTATTGCCCCTTTTAGTTACTTAGGTGTAAGAAGGTATTTTTCTTCTAGGCTTCCAATGTCTTTTTTGGGCCCTAAATCCAATCACCTGTGAATCTGTGCACACTTCTGAAGGAGCTCTGTGTTAAGGGACTCTGGGGATGCCTATACCTTCTCTCCAGGTGTGCTAGTTGCATTAAAGGGCAGTTGTCTCCCCAACAGTCTTCACACCTTCCTCCACAATAAACATATCAGGTATTGCCTTTGCAGCCCAATCCTGGAGGCCAACGCACTCACACTGGGGAATGAGCAGGCGCAGAATCACTGAACAAGAATCAGCAGCATGGGAGCACCTGAGTGGCTCAGTTGGTTGAGCGTCTGACTTCGGCTCAGGTCTTGATCTCATGGTTCGTGAGTTCGAGCCCTCGCATCAGGTTCACCACTGTCAGCACAGAGCCTGCTTTGGATCCTCTGTCCGCCTCTCTCTCTGCCCCTCCCCCCACTTGTGCTCTCTCAAAATTAAATAAAAACATTTAAAAAAAAAAAAGAATCAGTAGTATGGCTATGAGCTGACCTCCTTTCCTACTCCTACAAATATACAGTCTTACTTTATATAAATTATATAAATTATATTGACCTATAAATCAGGTTCTCCCTATTAGTTTCCACTCAATATCACTTTCAAGATGTACACAGGTGCTCTATGATTATTGCTTCTTCATCCTAGATAACAGGTTTTTGGGTGCCCTTGTCTCATTTTACTTACTCTTTACTCAGCCATGGTTTCCTCCAGCTTCTCGCTACCACAAACTGTGATGCAAACAGGGATCCTTAGACGTGTTGAAGAGAAGTCTATAACCAAGAACAGGGTTGTGGGAGTGTTAGGAGATACACATATATAATTTCATTAGTACTGCCAGATTTCTCTCCCGCAGGTTTCTACCAGTTTATACTTTCTCCAGAATATGAGAATTCCCATTTCATTCCCATCGCCAGTGCTCGCTATTTTCCTAATTATCAATCTCAGAAGTATAAAAAATTGTATCAGCCTTGTATTATCCATCTGAGGAGTATAAAGGATTATATCTTTACTGTTTTAATTTATAATTCTCTGATTATTTGTAAGCGTAAAAATCTCTGATACTTAAAAGCACTTAGGTTCCCCCTGCTTGTGAATTACCAATTCACGTCTGTTCATTATTTTCTACTTTGTTTTATTTTAACTGCACATCAACAGACACTTCTATTATGTTCTAGATAATAATCTCGGTGGTTTTTAATGTTGCAGATATAGTTCCTGGTCCCCAATTGGTAAGTTGTTTTGTTACCTTCACTGCCAAAAAAATCCTTCATTTTCTTGTAGTCTTAATCCAACAACCCACTCTTTTTTTTGAGATCTTAAAAAAAAAATTTTTTTACATGTATACATTTACTTCAAAGAAACATGTCCACAACATACTGTTAAAAGAACAACAATGAGTTCTAAACCAGCGTGTATACTATGATCCTACTTATGTATAATTATTCGCAAGTAATAAGTATGCCCCCTTCATTGGTTTGGGTATAAAATAAAGTCACTTTTCTTTTACTATTCAAATTATAATATCACCAATCCTATTCTACTCAGTTTAACAGAAAATATCACTTTTCCTTCTTGGCTTTCCTTGCCCAAGATTCCTCAAAGTTAGTTTTGTTGATCTTTTCACAGAACTAACTCTTGGTTTTGTTGATTTGTTCCTACTGTTTTTCTATTCTTTATTTCATTTATATCTGCTTTACTCTTTATCATTTTCTTCCTTCTGCTAACTTTGCTCAACCCACTTTTAACTTTTAGGGTATGTGCTTCAGTGTTTTATTTAGAAAGTCACATTTTTAAGTGTAGCTTTCTAATTGGTATAGACTTCAAAAACATCAATCTTAACTTTTTTCACATGAAAAGCAAATTTCTTCCATGATATCAACTAAAAAGTCCTTCTTTGTGGTGTAATTTGTATTATTTAATAAGGACTAGATTCTGAGATCTTCTTTATATTTTATCAGCCCTCTTTGAATTCATTTATTCTTTTATCCATTAATTCACTTAACAAATATTTATTGAGCTCCTGCTATAACTGAGACATTATTTTATGTGCTGGGAAAACAGACAAAAGTTCCTGATTACCACAGAGCTTATCTTGGGGTAGGTAGGAAGTGTAGAGCCCTAAAAGTCATTTTAAGCATTTTGGTGTTTGGGGCGCCTGGGTGGCTCCGTCAGTGAAGCGTCTGACAGGTCATGATCTTAGCCCCATGTCAGGCTCTGTGCTGACAGCTTGGAGCCTGGAGCCTGCTTCAGATTCTATGTCTCCCTCTCTCTCTGCCCCTTCCTCGCCCATTCTCTGTCCCTGTCTCAAAAATAAATAAAACATTTAAAAAATTAAGAATTTTGGAGTTTACCAAAATAACAATAACAATAAAATAACAGCTGATACACATATTGCATTACCATATGCCAGGCACTGTTCCAAGGCCGTTATACATATTAATTTACCTAATCCTCTCGACAACCCCACCTGAATGATGAGGAAGCCACAGCACAAATAGCTTAAGTAACTTGCCCAAGATCAGGTAGCTGGGTCACATGACTGATTGGGTCTGATTCTAGAGCCTGTGCTCTTACACACTGCCTTGCACAGTCTCTGACCGGGATGGGAAACCACTGTATGAATACCATAACTGATCTAGAGGTTAGGTTTACTTAGGCTACTATGTTGACACCAGGCTATAGGTGGGGCAAGAGTAGAAAACGAAGACCAATTAGGGACTATTTCAAGAGGCACAACAAGAGATGATGGTGATTTGGACTAATTAGTAGCAATGGAGGAGGTATGAGGAGTCACATTCTTGATTTGTTGACAACTGGGCAGTGGAGTATTAAAGAGAGAGGAGTCAATGATGATTTCAAGGTTTTCAAAGATGCAGTTGTGATTTTACTAAATGGGGAAGAGTTCCTAAAGAACAAATCAAGGGAAGAAAACTCCCTTAATCTTTTAGATGCCATTATATAAGGGGATCAGTAAGATCCCTTTTAGATGTCATCAGACACTCAAGTGAGATTTGAATACACTGTTGTGTATGTGAGTCTGGAGTTGAGAGTCCAGATCTGTCCAAGAGATAAAATTTGTAACATTACCATATCAACTTAAAAAACTAGAAGAAATCACCAAGGAAGAGAGAATAGGTCAAAAAGGTCCAAGGACTGATCTTGGTGTATTCCAGCATTAAGAAGGCACAGAGACGCAGAGGAGATGAAAAAAGAAAACTAAGATGGGCAGCCAGTGAAGGTGGTGTAAAACTAGGAGGCTACAGTTCTATAGAAGCCAAGTGAATCGAATGTTTGGAGGAGAAAGTAATCTACTTTATCAAATACCAAGAACAGGTGACACTGAGTACCACTATTTGTTTTTCTAAACTGATGTTTCAGCAACACTGCCACAAGATCTTATTAGTCATAATCATTTAGTGGTTTTCTTTGATTTCTTGTTGGTTTATGTAAAAACTCATAAATCTACAAGGAGACAGTTTTGTGTCCTTTCCTCATTTCCTATGAACTTGCCTCTGTGGTAGTTGTTAGAAATGTCCACCGGTATTTCCGTATCTTCCCCTTTCTAGGTCCATTAATAGGATTCCACTTCCTGCCTTGCCAGTACATGGGTGGGGCCATGTGGCTATTTCTGGCCAACTGAGTTTTGAGCAAGTGACATTGTGGCTTTGGAACCACAGCATTTAATTGTGGATGCCAGACCTTCCCAGGTTGTGATCTTCCCTTAGACGTAATGACTGGCAATGTTTAAGATGATGGCTTTTCCACCAGCCTCCCTCTCCGAGGGACAACGAGCCCGACCCCTCTGCCAACCCATAAGGAACGTTTAGTGTGAGCAAGAAATAAACTTGTGGAGGCGAAGCCGTGGTGGCCGCTGTCCTGCCCTCAGCTGTCTCGTGGGACAGCGATCACAGGCAAGTTCTCAGCTCCCTCCTGCCTTGGGTTCCGGCCGGTGCTCTTGCCAAAACGGCGGTATCTCCCCCGTGGACCCAACCAAAATCACCTTCCAAGTGTCTTCACAAAGATTTTTGGCCCAGGAGACCTTGTACCTGCCTCCACTGCGGCATCCTCAGCCTGGGGCGCTGGAGCTCAGGCGGCCCCGCGCAGCCCCCCAGCGGAGCGCGCTCCAGGAGCCCCGCGCAGCCGCGGCCGCCGCTCGGGCTGCGGTGGGGAAGCCCTGCCAACCCCCGGCCCGGCTGCAGTGACCTCGGCTTCGAGGACCCAACCCCCGGCCCTGCCGGAGCGAGGGTGGCCGTGACCCCAAGGGCAACGTACAGCGCCATCTTTCCCGTCTTCAGCCGCATCTCCCGGGAAGTGGGCCCGGAGACCGTCGACCACGGATACGCGCCCACCGCGCTGGGGGCGCTGCCTACACCTAGGAGACGCTCGGGCCACGCAGAGTTCAGGGGCCGCCCGCAGCCCCGCCCCCCGGGCCTGCGCCCGCCCCGTCCTTCCTCCCGCCGGCCTCCTGGCGCCCTCTGGACGCCTAGCGGTGGCTCAGGCGGACGGCCAGGGTCTCGGGACACCTGCCCGCCTCCATCGCCTGCCGCCCGTGGGGAGGAGGGCGCCGTGCGTGGGCCCAGCAACTGGCTCAAGGGCCTGACCGCCGTGGGCGTCAACTTCACCACCTTCGACCTCGTGCAGCTGGTGCTGAGGCATCTGCAGACCAGCCGCTGTTGACACAGGGAACTGAGCTTCGCCGTGCGGGGGACCACTGACCCTTTTGTGTCTGAGCACGTGGGGCCAGGGTGCGCTTGGTTCCACCCTGGGAACCACCTCGGAGCACGCTGTAGAACAAGCTGGGCGCCTATACTCTGTCCCAGAGTAAAGCCAGGGGCTCCTGAAATGCCAGTTGGGACTGGTGGGCGGGGGCTCCCAGAGTCTCCCCCTCCCCGCTTCCCAGGGCTGGCGCTGTCTCCTGGAGGCTTTGCCTTAAATACCCAGAGCTGGGAGTGACCAGCGCCACCTCCTGGCACTCTGTGACCTTGGACATGCTCCTAGTTGTACTGACCACCTGCCCAGGGGGCTGAGAGCCAGACTCCACCTGCACAACAGGAGGAAACTCCACAGAGTGTAAGGAGAGGCCTGGCCTGCGGGCCCTAGTGAGGTGGGGCCAACCTCCTGCTCATCTGGAGCTATAAATGCAGCCTTGCCCAGCCCTGCCCCTCCCTACCTGTGCTGCCTTTCCCAGATGACGGACGCCTCTGTCACCAGAGGAGAGAACAGGCTTCTCCCAAGAGAAGGACCCTGGACTCGACAGCCAAAGTAGGGCCCCAGGAGTGGGTCTTCCTCTCTGTTGCCCACTCACCCAGTTTGTGATGGTCCTGGGAGGGTCATACCTCCTCCGGGCAGCAGGATTTGAAGAGTTGACATGGATTTGGGTCTGAGTCCTAATCTGGTGGCATCTGTTGAAAACTGGGCGCCCAGGTCGCCTCCTCTGAGCGGGAAAGTTCCCATCCCTCTCCCACAAGTCACATCAGTGAAGCCCGGCCTCAGGCCCTGACCCTCTGTCCGTGGCACAGCAGCTCCTGGGGGGACTTGTGGCAGCTGTCACCGCCTTGGCTCCCCCCTGAGTGGACACTTGGCCAAGAACAGGGTGATTTAAGGCCCACAGGGTTTTCTGATTTCCATAAACAGAGTGCAGAGAGGCAACTAGCAGCCTGATCTTCCAAAGTGGGAGCTCCTGAGACAGTGTGTGACCTAGGTGTGGCAGCTCGCAGGGGTTGAGGTGCCTCAGGGAAGCGGTCTCATGGAGAAGTCCACCGGGGCCTGCTAGGTATCGCAGGGATACAGAAACACTCATTTCCGAGTGATGTTTGGAGTTTCTTGATTCCCTTTGGTTTTGGTTTTCAGTCTGGCTGACCCCACACCTGAGCTGTGCGGTCTGGTTCCAGGCAGAGGGTGACCAGAGGGCCATTTTTCATAGATGGCTCCACAGCCACCGTGTATGAAAGGGTCTGAGAGGGCGTGTTTGCTTCCTGAACATTTCCAGTGGTGACTTTCGTGTCTCTTCTTTCTTCTGTCACCTTTCTGTTCTTGCCTTTGACTTGTGGGTATGAAGACCCCATCGGGCAGCCTGAGACTCTTCCCCCAGGGTCCCAGGCAGCCTGCGATGACTGTCCTGTTGGGTGGGCTTCCCTGCTCCTCTCCTGGCCTTGCCTGGTGCCCAGGCTGGGAAGGAGAAGCAGACCCGTTTCAGGGAGATGAGGTGGGGACCCAAGGGTCCTCAGGTGAGAGAAAGCAGCAGGGGCCAGGGGTCCACTCCAGGCAAGTGACACCAAATGAATGGTCTGAGCCGCAGGCTGGGCAGCAGAGGAGAGGGTTCCAGGTCCTGCTGGTGGGGGTGTTCCTCCCCAAGGTGGCTCCCAGCCAAGTGGGCCTCCAGAGCACGCCCATCCTCAGCCCTGCACACAGTGGGGCTGTGCCCTCTGCAGTCACACGCCTCCCACTGGTGTCCCTCCTGATCTGGAGTAACATTTTGATGCCATGAAGACACTTTGTTTATATACTTTAAAGACTGTTTCTAAGAGAGTATTATTTAATATGAAAATGACCAAAAAGAAACCAAAGAAAGAAAGAAACTCTTGGGGTTTTTAAGCAACTAAAAACATTTAGGTTTTATGGAGTGTAGCATCCTGATTTGGTCTCTCTCTCTCTCTCTGTCTCTCTCTCTTTTAATCTCTTTGAACTAGTCAGGACCATGATGAAGAGTAATGATGGGAGTAGGTATCCTCATATTATCAAATGGCATTACATAATGTTTGTAGTAGGCTTTAATCAAGTTAAGTAATTTCCAGTTATTTCTAGTTGTCCAGATTTTTTTTTTCAATCATAAATAGGAATTGGATGCTATCAAATGCACTTTCAGCATCTATTTTGTTAACATGTGATTTTTCTTCTTTAATCCATTTGGTGGAGTGAATCTCAGTTATAAACCATATTTGGATTCCTGAGATAAACCCTACTTAATCATGATACATTGTTACATCGCAGGATTAATATCTCATTTGCATTTAGGCACTTCTATTTGCAAGTGAAAAGGGTCTATAATTTTCTTTCTCATTTCTTCATGTTTGGAAGAATGGTTTTTCTAGTCTCATAAAATGAATTGGGTCTAAACAAAACCATCATTCTATACACCTTAAACCTACACAGTGATGTTTGTCAACTATTTCTTAATAAAACTGGAAATAAATGAATTGGACATGTCTTCCCGTTTTCCGGAAATAAATCACTAGCATAGGAATTATCTGTTCCTTGGTAATTTGCTGAAAGGCAATGCAAAAATTAAAAGATCTTATTTATTTTAACATTTTTAAATAAACCATTTTAGTTTTTGGTTTGATTAATATTCTTTAATACTTTGGCTCAGTGATCTCTGCATGTATCTTTATTATTGTGGATCAAGTGAGTTAAGCATCAATAACAATGCCTGGGTCAATAAATGTTGTAATATAAATGTTAACTTATTGTCGTAATTTTTGTTTTATTTCCTATCTGGGTCTAACATTGCACATCACTAATTCTTTTTTAGTTGAACAATCAGTTTACTTGACTTCAGTTTTTACTATGGTAAAGATCTTTAAAGCTATACATTTTCCACTGAACACTGCCTTAGCTATATTCCATAAATTCTGTCATATAATAATTTGGTAAATCCATTCTAGTTATTTTATCAATTTATCATTATTTGTCCTTTCCCCCAAGGGTTAATATTATGATTTTAGTTTCCAAATCTGTGCCAGCTTTCCAGCTTTCCTTTTGTTACTGATTTCTAATGTGATTGAGTTTTCCTGTTGATTCTTTTATTGGTTCAAGCTTCTTTATCACATAGCTTTTTTATGGCTTATGAGTGTTTGATGAGCACTCAGCAATGCTAAAAAATTTCTATGTATGTTTTAATTTATATTTCTGTATAAGTCTATTATCAAGGACATATTAATTATGTTACTCAAATCTTCTAGTACACTTAATTTTTTGTCTATTTGGTCAGTAAGTTTCCAAGAAACGTGCCAAAACACTACCCCACTGTCTTCTTATAGAGAGTGTAATTGGATTCAGCCCCTTCGCCTGCTCCTAAAGTTCAGTGCTCCCCAACAAGCTAAATGTTAGCACCACTTAACATTACTCCACAAAGCCTGGCCAAGGCTGAGCTGAATCTGTGGGTTTGGGGCCTCACCGTGACTCAGGCAAAGACAACAGACCAGCAAGGAAAAATGAGTACAAATTAAAAAGATTCCCCATGCACGGTACTCTGTACTCTTCCTCAGATCTCCCGGGAGATTCTTATAATTTGACATGAGCTTCCCAGTTCCCAGTACAACCTGTGTTCCACAAGGGCTAATGTTCAGTGGGTCACAGTTACATCCCAATAAGCATAGAAAGGCCTAAACGGTGATTGAACAAAGAGCTGAATACATTCCTCCAGTACGTACTCACCTCTGTAGCATCCCCAGATTTGAGATCAGGTTAAGAAGCTACCGGCGCAGGTAGGGTTGACCTTTTGTCAGCTATGACACTTTGTAAGTCTTTGCTCCTTTTCCCCCGTTTTGGTGTAACAGGTGTCTCTGCTGAGATACCATGATGCTTCTCCGCTCTGGGCCTTTGCTCCAATACTTAGCCCCTTTGGTTTTCTTTGTATCATAATTTTCTCTGCTGGCTTCATCTCTTCAGCCTAAAAGCATGTTCAGTATCCTTCTACCAACCTTTTTGTTTCTTTCCTTTCCTTTCCTCTGGGACTTCACTAACTTGTTTTTGAAACACTGACTCTACCATATCACTCCTAGCACCTTGTATTTGGACTAGAGCCACAAGATGGGGCAAAGACAAAAAAAAGGGGGAATCACTTTGGAATATGGTATTTCAATGGTCCAGGGGGGAATGGAAGCACCTCTGCACAGGGATGGGGCAGTGAGAGTTGAGAAAGACTGGAAAGGCAGGAGAAAGAGTCTAGACAAGGCAGAAAATGTATAAAATACTTATTCCAGAGAGTTAGTTATTAAAGAAAGCAGTGGTGTGTATCCATTTGAGTTTGACGAACAGGATCTATCAATATAGCAATCTGCCCCACTGTGTGATTTCCTCTAACAAATCTCAGATGTGTGGATACCGCCTATCAGAAAACTAGTAAATGATCTGTGGATTCCTGATGTGCTACCAACTCTCTAGATTAATCTTCTGAAATCAGTGTCAGGTTTACTTTACTTCTCTGAGGAAATATGTACAGTGGCTATCCATTGCCTACATAATAAAATTTAAAGGGGCACCGGGGGGTCAGTCAGTTAAGCATCTGACTTCAGCTCAGGTCATGATCTCACGGTTCATGAGCTCGAGCCCTACATTGGGCTCATGTGCTGACAGTGCAGAGCCTGCTCGGAATTCTCTCTCTCCTTGTTTCTCTGTCCCTCCCTGGCTCATGCACAAGCTCTCATTCTCTCTCTCTTAAAATAAACATTTAAAAAATTGTAAATATTTCTCCGGCTGGCATTCAAGGTCTCTCCATAATCTGGCTAAAATCAAACTTTTAAGATTTACCGACTCTATTCCATTTTCTTCCTGTAATATTGAACATTTGCCCTTCTCAGAACACATTTTGTTTTGCTTTATATGGCTTTAGTATCGTCTTTCCATACACCAAGAAGACTTCTGTCTTCTCTGTTTCCCAGCCTTACCTCTCAAAT